ACACACACACACACCGCCTGGCCACTCTTCATCTTTATTTCTTACCTTGTCTCTGAGTAATGTTACCACTGTGACCCCCGCCCCCCTCTAGCTTAAGCAGCTGTAATTGAATTACTGTTTAATTTCCAGCTGCCGTAATAACATTAGCCACAGTAGTGGGGGGGGCGCAGGGGAAGCGAGTGGACCGCCAAACTCTCAGCCCTAAGAAAAAAATGGGAACGGGAAGCTAAAAAGGGGGGGGGGGGCAGGAAACTCCCGGACAGCAGGTGGGTAATAGGGAAATGCAGGCCGGTCCAAAAACACGGGATAAAGTCTGGCCCTCAGACACAATCACGCACATTCTTGCACTCGGATGGCAAGATTAAAGGCAGGATGACCGACTCCCATAAGCAAGAAGGTTCTAGAGAGACCCCCAGGGGCACTCAGGAAGGAGGAGGAAGAGACAATAAATAAACGGCAACGACGATAAGATCAGGACCAAAATCGGACTACGCATCATCAAGCCACTTACCCCCAGGTCCCCAGGGGCACACAGCAGATCCAAAACAAATCTGCACCCAGAATTTACATACCAGTCACTGCCGCTCACCCCTCAGTGTCACAGACAGCCCCCCTGCCCGCGTCCGTGTGCCCCCTTGCCCGCGCCTACCCGCGTCCGTGCCCCCTTCCCCTGGCCTGCGTCTGCCTGCCCGCGTCCGTGCCCCCCTGCCCGCGGTTGCCCACGTCCGCCTGCCCGTGTCTGTGCCCCCCTGAACATGTCCGTGTGCCCCCTTCCCCTTGCCTGCATCTGCCCGTGTCCGCGCCCCCTTCCCCTTGCCCGCGCCCCCTTGTACGTGTCCGTGTGCCCCCTTCCCCTTGCCTGCATCTGCCCGTGTCCGCGCCCCCTTGCCCGCGTCCGCCTGCCCGTGTCTGTGCCCCCTTGTACGTGTCCATGTGCCCCCTTCCCCTGGCCCACGTCTGCCCACATCCGCCTGCCCGTGTCTGTGCCCCCTTGTACGTGTCCGTGTGCCCCCTTCCCCTTGCCCGCGTCTGCCCGCGTCCACCTGCCCGTGTCTGTGCCCCCTTGCACGTGTCCGTGTGCCCCCTTGCCCGCGGCTGCCCGCGTCCGCCTACCCGTGTCTGTACCCCCCTGAACATGTCCGTGTGCCCCCTTCGCCTTGCCTGCGCCTGCCCGCATCCGCGCCCCCTTCCCCTAGCCTGCGCCTGCCCGTGTCCACCTGCCCGTGTCTGTGCCCCCCCGCTCGCGTCTGCACCCGCCTGCTCATGTCCATCTTTGTTTGTTTGTTTACCTTCCTCGCTTCCTTTTCACCCGCCGCTCGTCCAGCTGGACACGGAGGCGCCCCACCTCACCTCGCCCCACCCCCTGTGCCCGAGCCACAGATGGCAGAGCTTTCCGAGAGCCGCGGCCGGGCTCACTGCAGAGGTCATGCCGCCACGCTGCTGGGAGAGTCCCGCTCTGACATTTAACAAACAAAGGGACCCGCCACTGCAGACCAGCCTCTCTTTGGCATGTGACTGCCATTGCTTTACTGCTTGATTATAGGAATGTGCTTTCCCCCAACCCCCCCCCCCCCCCCCC